AGAGCCTCACCTGCGCTTGCGCTTTGCGCCCCGCGTATGTCAAGGGCACTCTATCCATGGGCTTCACATCGGCGCAGACAGATCACCAGCTTGACCGCCTACTCCGATCTTTGATTGGGCTGGTTGTCGAGACTCTCGGCGCCCACATCGGCTCTGCGTCTTCTTCGGTGACAACTTAGTCTCTTGGTCCTCCAAACGATGGACTCACGGTCTCTCGCTCGAAAAGCGGAGGCCGAGTATCGTCTTTGCTATGCGCATGCTTTGGCATTTGAGACTTGTTGGCTTCGTCGGCCACTTCAGGAGCTCCACGCACCCATCTCTTGATTGACGAAATCTCATCTGCGATAATGTTAGTCTTGTCTATATGACCGCCAATCCAGTTCATCATCGCACGAAGCATATTGAGATAGATATTCACTTTGTCCGTGAGAAGGTTGTCTTGGGAGAGTTGGTGCTCCATGTTCCATCGTCTCATCGGGTTCGCGGACATTATGACCAAAGGGTTAGAGTTGTTCATCGACTTTAGGTCCAGTCTTTGTGTTCGTGACACTCCCGCTTAGACTGAGGGAGGGTGTTAGAATGTATTAGTAATAGCCCGGCCCATTGGCCTTGTACACATTGTAACCCTAGCCTATTAGGCTATATAATGAAGGTCACCCCCCTGATTAGGGTGTGCGGTGTTTCTCTACATGTACATGCAGTAGAAGAAACTCTAGATATTGGTAGCAATGATCCACCTCAGCTTGTAGATGAAACTCCAGATGTTGGCAATTCACAGGAAGCATGTGATTTTCTTGGTAGTTCACGGGCTGCAGGGCATTCTGGAGCTGTTAATTGGGAGGAACTGTAGATTGAAAACACATTTGATAGAGAGGGTGAGGGTATGCTAGATATAATTAATGAGGATCAGTTGTTTCATCTTTTGGGTTTGAGAGACGAGGGTGATCAGCATGATAAGCCTAGTGAGGCTGATGCTCAAGCTGCTGCTGAGAGGGACAATATAGCTAAAAATAGAACTACTGACATTGATATTGACACAACTGGTGCTGCAATTCCAGTTGATGATCATGTGCCTGGGGAAGGACTCTATGCTTATGATCCTAACAACCCTTCTATGGATATTGGCACCATGTATCCAAACATGCAGGAGTTTAGACTAGCCATGAAACAATTTGCAATAAATAAGGAGTTTGAATACCGCATAGTCAAAACAGATCCGACGAGGTACATTGCCAATTGCAAAGATGATGCTTGTACACCGTGAAGGTGTATAACTATTTACTATTTCCTAACTATATGTCACCATTTTTTGTTTGTATATATGTTAAATTTTTGCTATTTGCTTGTTGCAGGTTACAGCTTTGATTGCGAAACACGACTGTACTGCTAGCTCAAGGCGGTATACCACCACTCCAACAAGTATCTGGGTGAAATCAAAGGCCATTCAGCACCTAAAGGACGATCCCACCATAGGCGCCAAACAAATGAGGGCAATACTAGAAAAAGAGCACAAATGTAAGATTACCTATGACACCGTATGGAAGGGAAGACAAATGGCCTGTGACGAGTTGTTTGGCACCTGGAAACAAAGCTTCCAAATGTTGTTCAATTGGAGGGCAGAGGTACTGCAGCGATCACCTGAAAGTATCATTGAAATTGACGTAAAACAGGTAGATGGGGAATTGTACTTCCACAGATTTTTTGTGCATTAAGTCCTTGCATTGAGGGTTTTTTAGAGCGTTGTAGGCCTTATGTTAGCATAGACTCAACATCACTTAATGGTAGATGGAATGTGCATATGGCTGCGGCTACTGCTATAGATGGTCATAATTGGATGTATCCACTTGCTTTTGGTTTCATAGATGGTGAGACAATAGATAACTGGACTTGGTTTATGACTCAGCTGCATAAGGCCATAGGACACCTACTAGTACTTGCTATCTGCACTGATGCATGCAAAGGGCTAGAAAAAGTCGTTAAAGATGTGTTCCCTCAAGCTAAACATAGAGAATGCTTTAGGCATCTAATGCAAAATTTTATTAAAAAATTTGGGGGAGATACATATTCAAAGATGTATCCTACAGCAAGAACATATAGACCTAGAGTTTTCAAATATTTTTTCAACCAAGTTGTTTCAGCTAACCCTCAAATATTGGAATGGCTTGAAAACCATCACAGATTGTTATGGATGAGAAGTGCCTTCAACCCTGAAATCAAGTATGATTATGTTACCAACAACCTTGCAGAGAGCTTCAATAATTGGATCAGAGATTGGAAAGACCTACCTATAGTTGAGCTTGCTGACAAGATTAGAGAGATGATAATGACACTGTTTCACAAGAGACGTGCAATTTCAGAGAGGCTTCATGGTAGGATCCTACCAGCAGTACTTCGACAATTGAGAGTAAGGACTAGGGGTTTAGAACACCTAACAGTTGTGAAGGCAGGTCCTTTTGCTGCAGAGATACATGACACAACCAGTACACATAATAGGCATGTTGTGAAGTCACATTTACATGAATGTACATGTCTTCAGTGGCAGCAAACTGGAAAACCTTGTGAGCATGCCTTGTGCCTCATAACAGCACAACAAAGTATTGACATCAGGATGGAAGACTTCATTCATGATTATTACTCTGTGGAGAGGTTCAAGAATGCTTATAAGAGACTGATAGAGCCTCTTCTAGATAAGACCCAGTGGCTTGATGTTGAGCTTGACTTTGTTGTTAACGCACCATTAGCTAAAAGACCTGCTGGAAAGCCCAGAAAATTGCGAATCAAAGGATGTTTGGAAGAGGGGAAAGGTGGAATGAGCAAAAAAGATGCAAAGGATGTTGCCAATCAGGCCGATAAAGATGCAGAATTGGAAGCCCAGGAAGCTGCTATGGGAAAGAGGCAACTGATTATGGGAAAAAGGAAGTGCAAGGGGTGCGGTGAATTGGGTCATGGAGAAACTAGCTACAAGTGCAAACTTAATGGGACAAAGAAAAGGTAGCATCTTTTGTTCTTCATTTTATTTATTGACTGATTGCACCATGCTATTTTAAATATTTATTTATTATTTTCCTCTACAGGAAAAGGAAGCCCGGAAAAATACTATTAAATATGGGCCAAATGCTAAAATCCCAACAAAAAGGATAAAGAGGCAAGATAAGGAGCCTGAAAATCCTACTGTACAATCTGACCATGCAACTGTGCAAGATGAAAATGCATCTGTGCAAGCTAAAAATGATACTGCTATAGTGCTATTTGTTCAGGAAACTTCAATAGTATTCACTAGCCCCATCAGACCAACCAAGAAAATAATCTTGCAAGAGAGCCCAATTAGGCTAACAAGAGGGTAAACATAGTGATGACAGCCATCTATTATTCCTGAGAATTACAATGTTCAGTTATTAATTGATTTATTCCTTTTTTTCAGCCGATTGGCATTCTTGATAGGAGAAGGCATAGAACATAGAGAAGGCACAGAAGTCCAGCCTATTAATACTGATGGGTCGCCCAACACCACTCAAGGAACACCAAGAAAGAAGAAAATGACAGCCAAGAAGTTGGTCCCAAGGAGAATGAAAAATATCTGAGAACCTGTGTCATTTTCAAAACATATGTTTGATGAACCTGTGTCCTGTATGAACTTAATTGTATGAGTTAGTGTGGTTTGTGAACCTTTTCCATTTGAAAACATGTGTGCTACCAGACTTGTGTGTTTGTGAAACTTAATTATATGTTGAATGCTTTCTTATGAACCCTGTGCCATTTGAGAAGAAAATAATTTGTCACTTGAGAACATAACATTTTATTGATTCATTGGCACAGCTGATACATTTTGGTACCAAGTACACAAGATTCATCCACTTCTCACAATTGCATACAAATTGCTAACTAACACTAGTCCACGGACAAGAATCAAATACTTCAGCAATATTGCTATCTCCCTAAGCTGCTTTACTTGTTCATCATAGTTTGATTCTCTAGAATTTGGCTTGTCTTCGATAATTGGCCGCAACTTAGTAGACTCGAAAACAGGTTGATAATCTGGAGGCACCAATTTTTGGTCAACCAAGTATTGCTCATATCCCTCTTCCCACTCCCAAAATGGACAGCCAGCACCTTCTCAGTGTCGCCACATGAATGGAAATCAATCAAATTGATTCAGTCATCAAATCACACAGCAAGGACTACATAAAGAATTTGCATCTAACCATTCTCACCGTTCGAGTTGGACAAACATAGAACTGGCGATCGTAGTTCTTCTATGTCTTCGATGTACAGACCTTCAGAAACCGACACATACAGTCTGGGCAATGAATAAGAGGGATTTTATTGTTTGAAATCCTTCGGCTTTGCGGTATTGTGTACTTGTTCGTCCTTGTGGGCGTCGTTGCCGTGGTGTGGTCCATGGCCGGCGTGGAGGCGCTGCTGCCGCGCCAAGGAGAGCTGGAGCCGGCCATGGCGTGCAGGCTGCGCAGGCGAAGCTTGGCCGGGCGGGCGTGGGGGAGCTCGCAGAGCGGGCGGGCGTGGGGGAGCACGCGGTTGCGGGGGATTGGCCAGGCGTGGGAAGGCGGATCGAGCGGGCGGCCGTGGGGTACCTCGGCGACGGAGGAGAAGAGCCCGAGAGCTCGATCCGTTCGTGGCTCCCGTTCCGTCCGTCCCAATCGCGTCTGTGAAAGGAAAAGAGAGAAGGGAGGGGTAGAAGGGGAATAAAAGGCTCCAAATTCCCTCGGATGGCATCCTAGCGGTTGTGTCGCACTTGATAATGGCATCCTGGCAAAGCCCCGTTGCGGGATGGCATTCCGTCGAAGCCCACTTCCTATAATGGTCTCTCACCGAATAGCTCACTGGCAAGGGGGAAAGCACAAAAGGAAAATGCAGTTTCCACAAAGTGACCGCATAGCCCAGCATCAATGCATCATAGAGCGACGGAGATCGGTTTCCAAAAACACCTTGGGAAGCGCGGGCGAAGGGGGCCGCAAAGAAGCGGCACTCGGCGGTGGGGATCCTCATGGCGTTCTTGTTGCATGGCCTCTGCTGGCGAGGTGGTTCATGAAGGCGGACAGCTCCACACCGGGTCCGGTCTCGGCGACCGTCCGGAGCACCCTGGCCGCTGCGGCGTCGCCGAGCTCCGCGAGGTGGGCGCGCGCCCACCGGTCGGCGGTCTGCCCGAGCTGCGTCTTGAGGCGCGCGAGCTCCGTGGAGAACTCCGGGAGCAGGGGCGTCGGGCACCCCGGCGAGGACTGCATTCCTCCGAGGCCGGAGAGGTTTAGGGTTTAGGGCCTAGGGAAGACCGCCGCGAGAAGCGGCGACGGCAGAAGAGGAGAGGCTAGCGAGGGAAGCTTTCGGCCGTCCGGCTGTGCCATGGAAGGGGAGGGGGAGGCTTGCGAGGGAAGCTTTCGGCCGTCCGGCTAAGCCTGATTAGTCCATGCAACGTGATGCTATACTAAGGCGGTGTTTGGTTTTTTTAGTTGCTCCTAAAAATCATGTCACATCGAATATTTAGATACTAATAAGGAGCATTAAATATAGATTAATTACAAAACCAGTTACATAGATGGAGGCTAATTTACGAGACGGATTTTTTAAGCCTAATTAATCCATCATTAGCACATATTTACTGTAGCACATCGTTGTCAAATCATGGACTAATTAGACTTAAAAGATTCGTCTCGCAAATTAGTCGCAAGTTGTGCAATTAGTTTCGTAATTAGTCTATATTTAATACTCCATCCATGTGTCCAAACATTCGATGTGACAGAAATTTTAGGAGCTCCTATAGAAAACAAACGGCTCTAATTACTAAATATGTGATAATGACAGATTAATTAGGTTTAATAAATTCGTCTCGTATATTACTAAGAACTTCTTACGAGGGAAGCCTTCGGCTGTCCGCCTAAGCCTGATTAGTCCATGCAACGTGATACTATAGTAAATATGTGCTAACGACAGATTAATTAGATTTAATAAATTCGTCTCGCATGCTACTAAGGACTTCTTGCGAGGGAAGCTTTCGGCCGTCCGGCTAAGCCTGATTAGTCCATGCAACGTGATACTATAGTAAATATGTGCTAATGACATATTAATTAGGTTTAATAAATTCGTCTCGCGTATTACTAAGGACTTCTGTAATTTATTTTATTATTATTATTCAAACGCTCCCATATGACACCTGATATGACACTTCTAAATTTTACTCACTACGCTTAAACACCATCGAAATGCGATGGCCGGGTAAGGAGGTAGCCGTTACATTGAGGGAAGAGGGGAGGGGAGGGGAGGGGAGGGGAAAGAGAAAAGTGGGGAAAGAGCTCTATTCTAGGAAAGAAAGCTCTATTATAGGAAGAGAACCATTGTTCAATGATTCGCTGATTGCGAAGACAATCACTTTGTTGCTTTCTTTGGCCCTATTCATGTGCTGAAAAGCCATGGTTTAAAGTATTGTTCGCTGATTTGATGTGAAAAAAAAACACTATTCGTTCGTTGAAATAGTATGGTTCATAGGATAAGCGAGCATGGCCTTTGTCTTAAAATAAGTGTACTTTTAACATGGGAAATTTTTCTAGAAATAAGTGTATTTATAGATTGGTCTATCTAATATTTTTTTTACTTTCTCTACTTTTAAGGTGAAATCATTACATGTCGAAATAACTTTTGATAGGGTTAAATATGTAATTTTAATATAATATTGATCTTGTACAAGAATTATAGAAGTATACTTATTTTGGGATGGAAATAGTACGTTTGACAAAGATTAAAAAGAGAAGAAAAAAGGTCCTTAGGCGTGACATGACATCAAAACCATATGGTGCGTTTTTTAGCCAAACAACCTCTACCGGCTGATTCCGACTCTGCTTCACGTCTTCACGATCATCCATTACATTCTCTGTCTTTTCTTACAACACTGGTGCTATCATCAGATTAGCTGCAAAATGCATACACATCGATCGGCAATCTCCTACCAACGTAGTATATGCACTCACATGTAGACATCACAGTCATCACATCTCAGCTTAACGCAGGTGAATAATTACTTGAAGAGAGAATTCTTTATCTGGCACCGAAACAAATCACTCTTCCATATTTGGCACTGAAAATTTTGAACTTTCTTATCTAGCATCAACTTGAAAATTCCTTCCGTATATGACACTTCCGTCCATTTGAGGCATCCCTCCGTTAGTTGACTAGGAAGACCATGTTAGCTTTTCATTAGGAGTACCAAAATACCCATGTTTATTCGGTCTCGTGCGTGCGTCCATCTCCCCCGAGTCTCTCCTTTCTCCCGTCGCTAAAACCAGAGACACAAACCCTAGAGAGAATGGAGGCCGGAGGAGATGAGGATGGGGAGAAGGAGGCGCCGGCCGCCGGTGCCCATCAACTCACGGGGCGGGTCCCCCAGCTCGAGGCGCCCCACAGTCAGCCAAGCTCGCCCCATGATCGCAGATCGAGGCGCGGGTCCGGCGGGGAACGTGGCGGCGGGCGGGCTCGCCGGCCGGCGCTGGCCCCATCTCGCGGCGCGTGGTGCGTGGGGCGGCCTCGCCCGACGGCATTGGCGGCAGCTCGCGGCGTGGCGGGGCGGCCTCGCCCGATGGCGCGAGGTGCAGGCCGCGGCGCAGCAGACGCAGCGGGGCGAGCTCGCCCACCGGAGCACCGGCCAGACCGCGCGACAGACTGGGCGTGGCGGCCTCCCCAAGCAGCAGTCCTAGTGGCGCAACGGCCGACTCGTCCAACGGCGCGGGAGGCGGCCGCTGTCACCACCACGCGGCTTGCGATGCCGGAGCCCGTCGTGGAGAAGGCTCCGCTGCCACCGAAGAGTGAGTACTGCTTGGTGACGCTATGCAGCAATCGTATCACATTATTGCTAATTTGTTCCAGTGACCGCAACCACAAGTTAATTGAACAACTGTTGAATTGTCACCAAAAAATGAACCTTTTGCATTCTGTGGATTGAACATGGAGCTGGAAATATTTGTTCGTTGCACACAGAGCGAATCCCAACTCTGATTGAGTTTAGGCACTGCATGTCAATGGTAGCTGATAAAATTGGGGGCACCATGTAGCTGTCTGGTTTACAGCTTGCTTGATTACATAGATGAATGAAAGTGGCTACTGTGGCTGCATATTCATGATTATTCCCTTAACAACAAAACTACTGTAATCTGCTTTTTTTTTTGGCTATATTGAGTGAACACCAATTTTCTTCTTGGCTTTTGCTTAGATTGTCTGATGACATCATTCAGACTGAAATTTCAGCCTCTCTTGTATTTGATAGCATGCCTAAAAGGAATGAAGTATCTTGGACTTCAATGATGTCAGGGTATGGAATGCATGGTCGTGGTAAGGAGGCTTTGGACATATTTGACAAGATGCAAAAGGCAGGCTTTGTTCCTAATGATATTTCCTTCCTGGTTCTTCTTTACGCTTGTAGCCATTCTGGCATGGTGGATCAAGGTCTGGATTACTTTGATATCATGCGTAGAGATTATGGTGTAGTTGCCAGTGCAGAGCATTATGCTTGTGTTATTGACTTGCTGGCTCGCTCTGGGCGATTAGATAAGGCATGGAAAACGATTCAGGAAATACCAATGGAGCCTAGTGCAGTTATCTGGGTTGCATTACTTAGTGCCTGCAGAGTTCATTCGAAAGTGGAACTTGCTGAATATGCTCTGAACAAACTGGTCAGTATGAAAGCAGAGAATGATGGATCCTACACGCTTATCTCCAACATATATGCTACTGCAAGGCAGTGGAAAGATGTAGCAAGAATCAGACAACTGATGAAGAAATCAGGGATTAAGAAGAGGCCAGGATGCAGCTGGGTCCAAGGTAACAAGGGCACTGCATCTTTCTTTGTTGCAGATCGATCACACCCTCTCTCTCCAGAGATATATTCTCTTTTAGAGAGACTAATTGGTCGCATCAAGGTTATGGGTTATGTCCCCGAGACAAACTTTGCACTGCACGATGTTGATGACGAGGAGAAAAATAATCTTCTCACTGAACACAGTGAGAAGCTTGCTCTCGCATATGGGCTCCTCACAACTTCCCCTGGTTGTCCCATACGGATCACAAAGAACCTTCGTGTTTGCGGTGATTGTCACAGTGCATTCACCTACATCTCCAAGATTGTCGACCATGAGATCATTGTACGTGATTCCAGTCGCTTCCATCATTTCAAGAATGGCTCTTGTTCCTGCGGTGGCTATTGGTGATATCTTGTCCTGTGAAAGCAGCAGGTGCAGAAGAAATACTAATGTTTTCCGAGAGAAAGAAATACTAATGTGATCATTATTTTTCTCAGTAGGACTAATATGTTCATGACTTTATTACAATGATTCACACAGAATTCTGGTTACCATTATTTTTCTCACTTTGGTTTTAGTTCTTCTGCCACACGCACCTGCACTGGTGTTTATGTTGTTTGCCTCTCTTTATTCATGTCTTATGTCTTATGTTGTTTGCACCTACACAGTACGCTGCTGTTTGTTCTCCTGAATAAGCCCTGCTGTTTGAGTTGCCATTAGGGGTTGATTCTTCTCTGATTAAGTAGTGATACTTAATAACCTTGTATCAGATATTCGCAGTGCCTGTGTTATGATTTTCTAATGGCTTACGTTTCTACAAAAATTGAGCTGATTTTCCCTTTGGAAATTTGAAGACTGTTCTCTTTCTACATTTTTTTTGAATGCAATGTTCTCTTTCTACATTTAATATAGCTAACACCAGAACAGACCTTTGATCGATGGGCATGGTGGAAATTTGTATTTTTATTTCATCAAAATTGTTTTTTTGGACTGTTCCTTCTCAAAGAAAAGGGTATTTTTAGCGGTTCAATGTAATCACCTCACTATTGTCCTGTGTGAGACTTGAAGTTGATTTAGTCCATCGGTAGGTTCACTCAAATACTGAAATGCAATTTAATTAAGGTTTGCTTCTATCAGTCGAAGCTGTGAAAGTTGATAATTTTTACTAAAGCAGCAATTTGTATAATTGCTAAACTTCTCTGCAAGGGTTGAAGCAGCTGGCCTTCCTAAGGTGATGCCTTTTGTTCCTTATTCTTCTCTGCGTTAATTTGTTGTGTACTAGTATGTCTAAAGGTGTTTTTTTTTTCAGATTTGCTTGACATCAGCTGATTGAGGATTTGTTGAACTGACAGTCAAATTTCTTAACCATTCTTTACGTAGATGTGCTTGGCAATGTGTAAGGTATATGCTTTATGAACTGTAATGTGAATTTAGACCCCCTATGTATGAATCATTTATGTGTTTATGTTTATGAACTTGGTAATATATGTATATTTATGAACCTAGACATGTGAACTGTAATGTGATTCTCTATGTAGATATGCTGACAATGTGGTCAGATTTGTGAAGCTTGTGCATCAAGTATATTTGTCATATTTGTGCTTTCCTTATTTGACATTATGTCTATTTATTCTTTTTCTATCTGGCACTACATGTTGCTGGTACATAGAAGGGCATATATGTCATTTTAGGTGGGACTTGACATCGTTACTGCATCAAATGGACGGAAGTACCATATAAGGAAGGAATTTTCAAGTTAATGCTAAATAAGGAAGTTTAAAATTTCCAGTACCAAATATGGAAGAGTGATTTGTTTCAGTGCCAAATAAAGAATTCTTCCTTACTTGAAAGGCTTGCAAGTTACACATCCAAGGAGACGTGGTACTATCATCACTGGCCGTGGACTCGCCTCAAAGTCGTCGGCATCGTACAAGATCTGCAGGCACCAATACTGTGATACCAGTATCACCGACTAGCATACGCTCTTCAGGCTTCAGGGCTTAAAGGCACAGGGGCCCTAAGGCTGGGACCACAAAGAATGCCATTGGCATCCTTATCCTACCAGAGTGATGATTATCAGTGCATCTGGCCACACTTTGGTGGATGGCCCGACAGGTGAAAAACACATAGCACAATCCTGTTGCAGAAGCAATAGACATAAGGATTAATTGTTTTCCTTGCTTGTCATTCTTCACGTAGAAGGGAGGAAGAGAAGGGGAAAAAATGAAGCATTGGTTAAGCTAGCATTTGAGGTAAAATAGTTATACAAAACATTTGTGCTAAACAACACCATGATTGTTTTTTTTTCCTCGAATACGCAGGAGGGCTACGTATCATTGCATTAAGAGAGAAGCCCTCCCCCCTTCCAGCCCAAGCTATGGGGGTGATAAGTTATAACAAGACCTAGATCACTAAAACACAAACACTGGGTAGGACTTGACCCACAGCACACGAATTATTGACAACAGCTAGGTTGTCGCCACCTCTTGACCTAAAGCGCCAAGCTTTCGTGCCCCTACGACAACACCATGATTGTGAATTAGATGATTCCGTAAAGGCCCTGTGACAACAGGCAAAAAATTTTAATAGAATATGTAGAGTGGCTGAAACTATCATGCTTCTAATAACATATGAAATACATGTGAGCATTACATATTCTTGTGCACTCCCGTTGCCACCACATACGCAGAATACTCTCAGTTTTGTGTTCCATTAGTGGCTTCTCTTGGTTAGCCCCCTTTATTCCTTCAGTTGAAAAACGTCGGCAGGCCTACACCAAGGACTTTAATTAATACAAATGTAGAAGAACCATCCAACTAGGATTGTGAATGAGAATCATTTGCATTTGTTGCACACGTTTCCTTGTGTAGCAAAAAGAACAACGTCAAGCAAACAGGCATTCTTATCAAAGGGGGTGCAGAATAAAAGGAAGAAAATGTAAGGAGGATAAAAGAACAATTCGTAGATGTCAAATCGACAATCGGAATAACCCATATAAGAAATCATCGAATACACTGAAGAATAGGTTTTGCCATAATCGAGTTTACAAACACGGAGGCAGCAGCCGCCGTCCTTAAGCCCGGCCACGGGTTTCAAAAACAAGGGTGTGGGAAACCAGAAGGTAAACAATCATAATTCTGCTCCTAGCCTTGATCTATTTAATTGGGTTTGTATATATATAAGCCAGATCCCAATTGTTTTAAATCATCGAGAACCCCTTTGTTCTTAATTTAGTTCTATTTAATTAGGTTTGTATTGAGATATCCTTTTTCTTCTTAATTTACTTGTCCAGAGCATCTAATTTCAGCCCTGAAAATCACTACCAGTAGAATCATCCAGCCCCATCTATTCTTAAATTAATAATCGGCTAGACCATCTAAAGTTTAGCCCTGAACAAAAAGAAATATATATGTAGTGTGAGCACCAGTATGAATGTATACTGCCAACACGACTTGCATGTGGTTCCTTTTTGAACTACAAACTTTACTTCTGTTATTAGTTACCTCACTAAATGTTTGAACCTATGAATGAAAAACAATGTGTACTGAAAGATGCTTGGTTCCTGATATTTGTTTAAACGTATATGAATGAAAAACAACGTTATGATATAACATGCTGTGTATGTGCCAAAACCAAAACTACAAATGATTTTGGATTCAGTATAAATTGATCTCAACTTATATAAGATATCAATGTGGATACAGATGCATAAAGTTTTAATATAAAACTTATAGCTACAAACAATCATTGAGATCTAAGGACATAGCAATCATATCTATCTATCAAATAGAAAATTGCTAGATTGTCAGTCAAGTTTGTCACATGATGACAATGGCGATCCTTGCCTCCCAATTTCACACACACGTATATAATGCAAAAGAGGAAAACGAAATAAAATCCCAATCCCCACAGGTAAATCCGAAGGGGTCTTTGTCTACGCACGGATGTCTGAGATGACGTTTAAGATCAAGGCTTCAATTGCATGACAACTTATAAAAGTAAGCTTCCTCGATCGGTCCTCAGTTCCTCACCTCAAGGTTACGCATGGCCGCGGGACGTAAAGCTTGGCGCATCTCCAACCCTCCTCCGCACGCGGCTGCAGAGCTACGGCGGCAGAGCCCCATCAGCGCCAATCGCATCGCCGCCATCCCTTCACCAGAACTCCAGAAGCCTTGTGGTGAGCGTGAAGGGAGATTACGAATTGGGCTTCGTTGAGATAACTCCTCTTTTTATTTACCAGGAGAGGAGATCAGATCAATTCAATTCAATCTCAAGAGAGAAGGAGTCGGGCTCGGGTTGGTGGAACCGTGGCAGAGACGCCGAGACGGTGTCGAATCACTTGCCCTGTTCATAACGAATCAGCCAATATACTTTTAGTCATAATTTATCAGCCAAATGAACAGAGCTACCGCTGGATGATAGAACCGTTTAATCTAATACCTTTAAGAGTGCTCGTCTTCCATTAGACACTAAGCACTCAAGGAAGAACACCAAATCACGCGATCCCGTCGGGCATATCCCGAGGAGAACCCGAAAATCCATATTTTTCCATCAGGATCACAAATGAGAAAATAAAGCTTATATCGCTTTTAACTATTTCTTACATCACTTTTAATACAACACCAGAATATACTATTTATTATTATAATAACGAAATGCAATCATATTATCAGAGTTATGAACAATTTAATTGAACAACGGAATATAAATATGTGATCCGAATTACAGCGAAAATAAATATCTATTCATAATATGATGAATGATTAATATATAAACTATGACAATAGATTAGAAACTTTCATTTATAAAATCATTTAGTGAGAGTTATAAGTAAAGACTATGATCGCAGCGTAAAGAAAATCCTCTCTGAGCCCACCAGAAAAAATCCACACACAAGAGTCAGTTCTAGCATCCACCTGTCACCTACAACAGGGAGAAATAAAACCCTGAGTACTCAATTGTAATTAGCAAGACTTACCCGACCGGAGGAAAGAAAAGATTTCAAGGATATGCAAGGCTATATGCCTTATGGGTTTATTGCATCTGCAGGAAATATTACTAAGCGTGTGTCCTTTTATTCGATTTTTATTAGCAGTGCATTAGGTCATTAACTAACCATTCTATGTAAGCACATGTGCTACTTTCAAACAGGTGGTAAGCAATCAGATTTCTTTTTGTTATCTTTCATCTTCCAGTTCTTACTACGGTGCTAGAGTTAAGATAAGTCGTACCGACACGGCGGCGATTCGCGAATCAATGTCCCCATCTGGGTACCCCGAAAATACACGTCCCGCTTGTATTCCAGGCACAAGCAGGACCAACCCACTACCCTCCTGTCACAGGATCCAGGTCCTAGTTCAAATTGGGACTCTAAGCCCCCGCCCCTGAATTCCGGACTCAGTGCGGTG